CCAGTGGCACAATGACGACTCATGTCAGTGTTGCTGCTCTGAGATAAAAGGGTAAGTACTACTGAGAGTTGAAAGTAAGGGAAGAAACTGTCAGTAAAAGAGTGAAATACAAAGGCTGAAATGGAGCTCACAAGTGAGACAACGCTTCTGCTACAGCTGCACCACTTGTCAGCACAACGACTGTCTGCAGACATTTTCACTACACCATAAATTCTGATTTCCAAGCAATAAAAAAACCTCCAAGATAAAAATTCATCACGTAAATTCTTAGAGAAGAAATTTTTTCTTCCACTGGGGGGAAAAAAAATCATCAATCAGCTAAAACATACAGACAAGACACTTGCAGAGCAGGAGTTTAAGCTATGATTAACTTTGCTGTACTTTCTGCCTTGAAAAACGATCATGCTACAGAAAAGCACTGGCGTGATCCGTGCCACTTGGACATTTAAGCCCTCCCATTAATTAACCAGAAGTGAAATAGGACCTAGGACTGTGGATCATTCAGTCTAGTTCCTTGTTACTTCGAGCAACTACATTATAAAACTTCTCATTTGGACTGAATAAACAGCATCTTGAAGAAGAGGAATTTTTTTCAGCCCATTTGGAGGAAGTTTCAGGATCTCTCTTCTTCAGATACACACAAATATTCCTCTTGCTTCCCACTCGCAGTCACTGGCATTGCTCTTTATCCATCTATTTTTTTTGCCAGTGGTGTCCTTTAGGTTAAATAGCTTTCTCCCTGAGTCATTCCCACAAACTTGCAGTGTACAAAGGAGCCTGGGATAAGGACAGAACAAAAACAGTACAAAGACTGTACAGTACTCTCTAACTGAAAAGGCAGACATTGAACTCTATAGTATGGATCTTCAGATTTCTAGAGCTTTTCCATTTTTTCTAACACAAGCAACCAACCATCAGCTAAGGATCCACATTCATCTGACCCATGTGAAGAATTGCTTGTGATAACCCTACACTGAGCGAAGTCTGTGCACTATCCTTAAGTGTCAAAACTTAAGGCAAAAAGAAATTAGACCTTCTTCCCACCCAATATACATTACGAGTCTTCTCTTATTAAAGCATTACTTGCAATTTGTATACACAGCAACTTTTAAAATGCAGAAATTTAATAAAGGTATTATATGTAGAAATGCTAACAAGGTAATTGCCTTTAGTTCTTGCTCCCAGATGGCTCAGCTCAGATTTAGAACAGGGAAAATCACAGTAACAGCCAATGACGTGAAGTCATCATCTCAAAAATGGCCCCAAAACAGTGCACGTTGCAGGCAGGGGGGACACATCCCAGGTGACAGGACATGTCACTGGCAGGGACCCTCTGTTCATCCCACGTAGCCATCACGGGGAGGAATGACCCCTGAGAAGTGCCTCCCTGCTTCTGAGGGATGCAGCAGTCCAGACCAGGTTCTGGGGGAGACCTGGATGCCTCCTGCCCTCCATGCAGTTTGGGGGACCCGCATGTCATACCCTGGCCCAGCAGAGACTTAATTGAAATATCTGCTTGCAACATACCAAATAAAGTAGGAGAACAGAGGCATAATAGTTTTTTAATTATTGCAGTTAGTTTAGGTCTTAAATAGAGACTGAATTGCAGTAAAAGCATTTTAATTCATTAAATCATTCATTATATGAAATTAACAATGGCATTATTTTCCAGCCTGAGACTTGATCACTGGAGTTACCGTTGTGCTAGCCAAATTGGTCAGAGCAGATGAATCCCAAGTATTGCTCAATTATTTAATCCCACGCTGTGTTGCTGAGATGTGGCATCCCCCTGTAGAACACCGCCCTCCTCAGCAGGTGCTGCCTTGTCCCATGCTGGCCATCCCTGCCTCGCTTGCATGAGAATGACACACTACAACTCCAAGATGTGGTACAGACACTCGTCCAGAAAGGCACAGCCACACACTGTGGTGGGACATATCCAAGCTAGACAAGGCCACCGAGAGCCAGAAAATGCTGCAGGACCTTCTGCCGCTCACGGGATACACCTTACTGTGTGGTGAAACTCTGTTCTCACATGTGCTGATCCAAATCCGAAGCAACTTCACCACCTTCTACAGATTTACTCCCAATTTACACCCACAGAAGCATCTCACCTACTGAAAAAGCCACTAGAAGGACAAAAAAATACACTCTTCTTAAATGCAACATTTGAATAGAAAAGTTGCCCTAAGATTTTTTTTTAATAGAGGTGATGTTGTTTTTGTTACTATTACTTTTGTTTTTTGTCTACTTCCATCTATTTCTACTTCTGCCCTGAGTGAAAGGCAGGCTGCTCCATTTAAAAATTCAGGACACAAATGGGAACCAGATTACATCTATCCCAAAGCTGCCAAAAAGCAATTGCTGTATGAAACCGAAAATCCTCCTGGGATTTTTCTCAAATCCGCAAAATATTCCCGAGCACTAAAGTTTCCACTGGGACTATTACATTAGCAGATAGTCTGTGTGTGAAAACCCAAGTATGCAGCCGTTCTCCTAATGGTTTCCAGGACAAGGAAGCTATGCAAGGCACACACTTTCACCTTAGTACCAAATATCATTTATACCAGATCTAGCCTTTAAAGCGAGTTATACACCTATCAGTGAAAAAAGAAGGTACTGTGGACTCAGGCTTTCGTTTCCTGAGGAAAGCTGCAATGGTCAGTAGTAACATCTCTGCATAATCCTGAAATTCTGCGTGCATAGAGTCCAGCTTTGTCTGAATCCCCTGGTGTTGCTGCTGGGACCCCTATAAACCCCCTTCCGTGTCTCCTCACTGGAGAAATGTAAAGCTTTAGCTCTCTGCTGGTGTTTCCTCACAAAGCAGCTCTTGCATGGAGCACCAGAGCTGTATCTGTGCACTCATCCCTCAATCCAGGATGCAAATGCGCACAGGGTTTGGTCCAGATCACCGGCGGGGGGGGGGGGGGGGGGGGGGGGGGGGGGCGCCGGACTCAGGAACTGCCCCCATGCTTGTCCACAATGTCATAGGTGGAAATAAAAAGTAAATGAGAGCAACCACCAATCCTGCAGATATATGGGCTTTGGAGAGACAACACTTGCCACTTTGGGTTGAAGCTGCCCTCCTCTAGCAGCTGAGCACTTTCTAAAAGAAGCAGGAAAACAAAGTTCCCCTTGCCAAATGCTGGCAGACATCAGGACTGAGGAGGATGGACATGCAGGTGATGGGGGGGGAGGGTCCCACTGGCCCCACACAGCCTTGGGAAACTGGGAGGCCTAGCCCCAGCAACGCTGTGGAGCACATATCTCCGTGTTCAACAACCTAAAACCAGCCTCCCCAAATTCACCCCCTCCCACCACTTCTCCAGCCAGGGCTGAGGATGAGGAAGGCTGGGCAGGACATGGGGTGGTGGGGCCACGGCTCTTGCCCCCCCAATATTCCCTGCCCTCACCACTCCAAAATTTCTCAATAAGGTATTTATAGGACCTTTTAAAGAGCTTTTCTAGCCATTAGCAATGACTACAAATATATGCAAAAATCTGTATTATATATAAACATGTATAAAAATAGAAATAAACATAAATATATATAGTGGTCTATTTTTTATTTTTATATATGTAGCCATATATGCCTATATATGTAAATATATAAAATTACATAAATATATATCTACATATATTTTTATATATATTTAATATATATATAACTTTGTATCTCCATGTACACCTGTGAGCAGGAATGGTGCTGCCAGCTAGCTGTACCCTGGAAAAATCATGGGACTCATGTTTACAGCCACCCTTCTCTCAGGAAGCTTTTAGGTTTATTTTTATACATAAAAAGACAAAACCTGAGCTCGGTGGATACTTGAGAAGGGTCTTGCAGACCCCCAGCCACTAGGTCTCAGTCTCAGGCAGCAGCTGCCCACGGCTCTCGGGATGCTCACACAGCACCAGGAAAGAGAAAAATAACCCCTCTTTCCATCGAAAGAGGAAAAAGCCCAAGCAGTGACCTTCCTGTACTTAAAACTATGAATCACAAAACATGGCAGAAAGATTCAGGCTAAATTCACGTGGGTTTTTTTTCTTTCAATGCTGCTTTTTTTTTTTTTAGCCGAAGTTTAGTTTTGCTCGCTGCATGGGTAGGAAGGTTAAATATAAAAAAGTTCCCTCGCACCATCCCCCTACAACAACGTGAGAAAACGCTCCTCCGGCGTGGGAGGCCCCTCCTGCGTGTCTCCTGTGGCCGGCGCTGCCGCCCCACGCTCCCGCGGACCCGGCGGGACGAGACGGGACGGTGCCAGTCTCCTCGGTGGGTGCTCCCGGCTGGGACGGGTGGTGACAGCCCGGCGCTGGGGACCCACGGGGACATCGCGATCGCTCCTGCAGGAACGGCAGCGGCCGCTCCGGGTGCCGCTGGAAACATTCCCCGCGGTCCCGGCCGGCGCTTCGCTCTCCCCGGGAGCGCCGGGGCGGCGGAGCCTCGGCGCGTTCCTCCTTCAGGATATCCTGCGGACACCCCACTCTGACGAGGGCTGCTCGCCCCGCGCCGCTCTGCTTTCCTGGAGCGGGGAAAATTCGCGGGAGTGCCCAGGGAGGACTCAGGGAGCGGAGGAGCAGGAGCAGCTGCGGCCGCCGGGCTGGAAGCTCGGCCCTAACAGTGCGGCGGGGCGGGGAACGACGGGCTCGGCCCCGCTCCCGCACCGCCTGGGGTTTCCACGCATCCTGGGGGCAGCGAGGTGCGCTGGGTCCAGAAGCCGGCTGAGGGCTGCCCAGGCCTTCCCGCATCCTCCCGGGGAGCGGCGGGGCACGGCACCGCGCACGGGCGGGTATGAGAAGGGACATCTCGCACTGGCACTCCCGCACCCCCGGCGTGCTCCCCGGCACACACGTGGACGCGGGCACACGCACCCCCCACGCACCCAGGTCCGCACGGACACCCGTGTGTGCGAGCATGCACGCGCGGACACGTACTTGTGCGCTGACACACGGACACGTACGTGGACAGACACACGGACACCACTGCCCTTCCCCGGCGTTACCTCCGGCTCCGCGCCCCGCCGCCCCCGGCAGCACCGCGGCCATCCGCGTCGCTCCCCGCC